GGTCCTCGCGGGGTTACGAAGGCCGGGCCCGTGCGGCGGAGCCGCTGCCTCCTTAGGGTGCCACTCTTGTCCGCCCCCTTCTCAGGTGGCCGGCCAGGGCCGCAGCCCGCCGCCCCCAGCCCCGTGTCCCCGAAGAGCGCGTCTGGAGAAGCCGGGCCTGGGGGTCCGGCCACTGCGGGGCCCCGGCCTCCCTTTCGCTGGGGTCAGCGCCGTCCGTGTTCCCTCGTTCAGGGCTGGCCGCGATCCCCAAGGGTTTGGGTGCAGGGAGCGCAGGAGGCTTGCAGTCCGGTGATGCTTATTTTCAGAGACCCCCGGTGCTTGGCTTCGAAGGATCTGCTCAGCTGGTGCGTCCAGATGTCGCACTTACAGAGTTGGTTCTGGGGCGTTTTGGATGTGGGCACCGTGTGTCGGGCGCACTTGGGGGACAGGGAAAACTGTCCTCTCCCTCTGGCCGTCCTCTCCCATCCCCTCCTGTGCCTTCTATTAAGCTTGTTGGAGAAAAACATGTTTTGCTAATTTACTGTGGCTTATGAGTCACGCCTCAGAAAGGGGACTTTGCCAATTCTGAAGGCAGAAGTACTTGAGTTTTAGGGTTGGGGGAGATAGAGCGGTGAAGCGTTTTTGAAATACAGCGAATTTTGCTGCTCTCGACAATACCTGAGATTTCTAAATGTTTTTAAAGGTGCAAAACGTCAACAACGTGAATCGTAGAGGTAAAAGTGTGTAGTGCTTTAAACATTTAAATTTTCTGAGTGTGCTGGAAAATTTAACACAAGAAACGGTCATTCTTTTTTCTTTCCCTGTTCTTTCTTTCCCTCATCCCTGTCCCCCAACAAAACTGTTTGATAGTTAAAGTGCATTTTCCCCAATATATAGATATCAGTCTTAAAGTTAGGAAAAGATACATGACCCTTAGTGTAAGAAATGGATACTTTTCTAAAATCACTTGAAAATATTGCAGGTTTGGTAATTTATGGATGCAAGAATGGAATACTTCGCAAGAGTAGGCCTTTGATATCTGTTAATACTCAGAAGTACCAATGTAGTCATTTTAAATTCCTGCATTGGTTTCTCACTGCTACTGGTAGCTGATATATTTCTTTCCAGGCATTCTAAGGACATACTGTATTATAAAAATTAAACAGTACTGATATTTATAATATGTTGAAAGTAGATGGATTAATAATGAGCAAATTCTAGTTAACGACTGTAGAACTCAGTTTCAAATATTAAATCATAAAGCTGCTATCTTGTAGCTGGAACTCTGGTTTTTGTTTTATTACTTGGAAACCTGATTTGATCAGGTTCCAAGTAGTGATATTAGCAAAGAATGCAAAATAAGGCAGATACATTATGAGATCAGTTTACAAGACAGACGAAGGAATGAGAAATAAAGTTTAAAAAAAGCAAATTTTAGAATTGCTAGGATAGAGTAGCTTATAAGTAATGACATGGACTTTAGAAAACAGAACCTCCAACAATGAGTGTTCTAAGGCTCCTGAGTTACTTTGAACCATACTCTTGCAAAATTTTAGAGCTAGGATGGATCTAGATGTCATCTATATCTTGCAAATCACAGATTAACACAGTCACTTAAGTCATTGTAAAAGAAATCCTGATGTGATTGTCATTAAGTTGAATTGCCACTGGAAGAACCATCTGAGGCAGAGAATTAAAGTTGGCTCTGCAGTGATAGAGTAAAACTCAGGAGAGTTTATTTGGGCAGAAAAGCATATGCTGTAGGTAAAGTTGTTTTAATTTCAAGAGATGCAAAAATGGACATATTCAATGAAATTAGGGAAATGACCAAATTTGATCATTTAACACTTTGGGGGTGATTCAGAAAGGGGAGATGAGGTTTCATTTAGAATTGTTAAATCATTTATTTACAAAAATGAAAAGTAAAAAAAAAAACAAAACAAAAATATGACTCAATGTGTGATTGATTCTATTAGAGTGAATAGGATTTGAGGCCTCAAGAGGGAGGTCTGGAACCAGCCCATAGTGGACTCGGGACTTCGGAATCCAGGCAGATAGGAGCTCCAGTTCCCAGGCTTTACCTCTAACTAGCTCAGCAACCTTGAGCCAGTTACTTAGTGGGTGGTTTCCTACAATGTAAAGTGGGAATAAAAGGAAAATGAAGTAATAAATAGGAAATGCAAGGGTTATTGGCATTAATAGTAACTGCATACTGCTTTCAAGTTAATTTAGGAGGAGGCAAGTAGCAAGGAGTATTAATTGTGGACATGATATTTTTAGTAATACTTTGATGAGACCAGATTGCACATGATCATTTTCTTGGCACACTCTGGATATGAGATGAAAAAACAGAGAAGGATTTCATGTAATTTGAAGGAAAGGATTTTGTCATGTAATTTTAAATGTCATATTTTTTCATTAAATCATGCTTGGAACCAGTTTTAGAGCTCTGGGATTTTTTTTTTCCCCCTCAACTTCCTCTTGCTTGAAAATTTAAAATATATGTATATATAGTGGAAATGAGGGTCCAGTTGCTTTGCCCAGAAATTCCAGATTACCATACCCATCCTGAACTTCAGATTTTAATTGAAATTGCTAATATGACTTTAAAGAATCAGACCTTTGTAATTTCCTAAGCAACACAGCATTTGAGTTATTTCGCAGAAAATTTACTGAATAAGTAGTGAATGTGAAAAGTTACTAGTTAAAAGTGATCCTTATATGGAATTAATTTGATGGCTTCCAAAACAGTGATTCATTTTTGCAGTGGATCCCTGGCTCCTTCAGTTCACCATTAACTGGATTTACTTTTATTTGACCAGGTCATTTTCCTGTGACTAGTTGGAATCCACTTCTCATTTTTCTTAAGATTCCACGAAGAAATACATTTGAGAAAATTTGCCCTGTTTTTTTCACTAAACTATTTGGCTTCTTTCTTAAATCTGATTAATGGGCTCAGGAGCTGCCTTGAAACTGTTTTATAATGCTAGAAAGTGAATGCGGAATGCAAGTAGAAGTCTGTCAGGCTCTTCTTCATGAGGCTACATGGTGATAGGGCAGAGAGTAAAGTACCCACGCAGTTCAGAGTGACGAGATTTGCAATGAAAATACTCAGGTAAGGGCTGGACTGGATGAGCCCTAGATTGCATTCTTAGTCATGTCACTTTACATCAGTTACTGATTTTTTGTTGTTGTTCTGGTCTGTTACAATGTGCTTTGGTAAAGCTCCCTCCATTGGTGGTAATAAGTCAACTTGATCAAATGGCAGTTAACCTCAAAACAATATATTTACTGAGTGAGTTTTGAATGAATGCAACAGTTGTAAATAGTCCAAGACTGCATAAAGAAAGTGTTAAATGCTTGACATACAAAAGAATTACTATGAGCACAAAATAATTATATAGGATAGACTGTTTAGAAAAGCCATTAAAGAGAAGGTAAAATCTTAAGCGGTATCAAGGTAGATGGGACTTGGATAATTAGATGTGACAAGAGCTGTCTAGCTGAGATCAAGGTACCAAAATGGTAGTGAGTATGAATTGGGGATATTAAGAAGTACTCTCTTATTAGAAGGAGTTTGTTTTGGAAAGATGAAGCGGGACTCGAAATTAATTTTCAGTGTTATGTTGAGAAGTTTGGGCTTGGCGTGATGGACTGACTAATCGTTCATTCTTCAGCAGATTGGTGTGCTGGAAAGTGGTGTTTTAGTAGTCATTATATGTCAGTGAGTTAATTATTTGATTTTGTTGAGAGCTCCTTGAATAGTCTTCACTCTAAATTGAAAGAAACAATTTTTAACTATTAAATGTAATAAATGCCATAGCTGTACTTTGCAATAACTCGTAAGTCATTGGCCAGCATATTAGAGCAAGTTAACTCATGCATTATGAAATTTCAAATTATGTTCTCATTTATAATACCAGATATTTTTCAATTGCAGATTTAGTACCTCAAGACAGACCCTTATGTGGATTCCAGATTCCTTTTTTTCCAGGTATTGCATATAATTCTTTAGTACCATTTTTAATACACTTGTTATTTATCAAAATAGTAAATTTTTTCCTTGTCTTAATTTTTTTTATATATCTTGAATAAAAAAATCTTACTTTTAAAATAGATTTTTTGAAATTTTTATTTTACTTTGGAGATCACTCATTTGTATTGATCTTTGACATCTGATAAAGAATTAGGACATTTATTCATACTCAGATTTTAAAAGCTAACTAGCTTATTGTTAATGACTTCTAGTTTGCTGAGTGGAAGAATTTCAACGCTTCGAGATGAAACTGGTGCTGTGAGTATAATGTATAATATATCTAAATTACATTAACCAATGCTTATAATGCTTTATCCTTATTATATAGTGACTTAGAAGACAGGAAACCTAATATTTTAATTAAATGAAAGCGACATATGTACTTAGTTTATTTTTTGTCACATAGTTAATAGAAGAGAACAGAGAATACTAAATATAGCAATTTAAGTATTCATGATTATAAGATATGAGCTTACATTGTCAATAAAGAAAATATTTCTTTTAATGAATAATTAAAACAGTAAATATATTAAATACTAAAGTGTTTTGGTATTGAATTAGAATGGTGTAAGATATTGCAAAAAAGTTGTCTTACAATTTTTTTTTTTTTGGAGAATAACCTTATGAACTTACGGAGCAATGGTAGAATGAGGGAAGAAAAGAACAATTATGTTTCAGTACAAAAAAAAAAAATGGTTTACATTTATAAAGCAGTTATATGTGTCTAACATGTGAAGTAAATGTCCATTGCTCTCAAAAGCTAAAGGGCTTTGTCTGGAGGCAGCAGAGTGACCAGAAGTATTTGTTCGCTATAGTGAAAGTTATAGATGAAGCAAAGCAGCAAAAGCAGGAATACTTATGTGAGATCATAAAGACATAAGATCTCCAGAAATCTGTGGTGTTTCTTCAACTTTTGACGGGTTCTAATAAAAACAAAAGCAAGAATTTATGAATCTAATAGTACTTAACTCATTGTACTTGAATGGTTGATCATAGTGTAAGGAGTTTTCTTTGCTGCCATTACCCTAATTGACTTACAGAAGCTTTAAAAGATGTTCATTTTTATGGAGAGAGCTGTAACTGATTCAAAATAGTGTTGGTACACATTTCTGTAAAAAGTTACCAATTATGTATTTCGTATTTTTAAGCATTTTATTTCCACCTTATGTATTCTGTGTATTTGTTATTTTTAAAATATGCTTTTTGTCATCACCCTCCTTTCCCCCAGCCCTTGTAGAAACTGAAATAGTGAGGTGTGTAGGTGTTAGGAGAAGAGCATCTTTTCTGTGTTGGCAGCAGCATGCAGTATTTACCCTTCACCCCACGCGTATTGTAAAAAGTACGTTGTTGCTTTAGTGATTCACATGTGAATCACAGATTATGTAAGTCACGGTCACTGTCGCCAGCAATTAATGACCAAGCAATAAGCAATGTAAGAGAGTATTTATGTGTAATATTTTCAAAGTACTTATTGAATTCTAGGATATTTCAGATAAAAATTTTCTCTAAAGTGTCACTTTTACCAAAGATAACAGTTTAAAAAAATGAGGGAACTGATTTACTAGATACCATTTTCCTACATATTAAAATAGCATCAATCTAATAATAGCTTTTCTGGGGGAAAAAAGACACATTAAGTTCATACTGTTTGTAACTGCATTCCAATTTTAGAAACATTAAAATTTAAGAGTAGAACCAAGGGAATGTATTTTAAGTAATGTAGTCTTTGTTCCTTAAGTGTCACATATATGAAAGTTAGAAGTTGTATTTGTAATTTGAAAATAAAACAATTCATTTACAGATATTTATTGATAGAGATCCAGCAGCATTTGCACCCATTTTAAATTTTCTTCGGACGAAAGAACTAGATTTGAGGTAAGAAATGCATCCTTTTAAATACATTCTCATTGATAGGTATGTGTCTTTTTGTATATTTTGTAAGGAAAAGCGGCCCCCTCCCCGGAGGCTGTGTTGCTTGAAGGTTTCCTCAGAACCAAACTCCAGGTGTGGGCCACTGTCCTCTCTTCCCCGGCACCACTCCAGCAGCTTCTTAACCAGTGTCCTGGCTTAGTTCTTGCCTCCCTCATTTATTTCTCACACCGTAGCCAACGTTATCGTCTAAAAATAGAAATCTGATCTGGCTCCTACTCCCCTTAAAGTGTTTTTGGTGTCATTAGATTAATGGCTAAGGATTTTGGTAACTTGGTATTGTCCCTTAAGGCTCTGTAATCAGGCCCCTGCTTAACTTCTCTTGCTTCCACATGTGACCCGAGCAGCCTTGGCTCCGTCCTGATTCAGTGATCTTGGCCCTGTCCACCTCGCATAGATGGGCGTGGTTGTGGCGCTGCCACCACCCCAGCCTTCACTACACTCGCTCCTTTCTCAGGAGTCTGTCTTCCGTGAGACTTCGAATTCGAAAGGACAAGCACTGTTCTCTACACGTCCTCGGGATCTGGCGTTGTGCTGGGCATGTCGAGGTTCAGTGCATGGTTTTGTGGATGAATGGAGTATCACTTAAACGACTGCTTTAATGTCGCCATAGTCTAGATTATCACCAAGAAGCTACTGTTTATATTTTATTGAC